AGGATATAAATTAGTCAAAGGGCGTAATCTTGACTTTCCTCCATATATTTGTGATCCAGCAAGATAAATATATGTATCACTCATGAAACCAAGAGCAGCTAAAACAAGTGCAGCTTCTTCTGGTGTTAATGGACATCTTCCTGAAATTCTTAGTTCTTCTGGTGAAATAGGCCTACAATTACCCAATTATAGAAAGAAAAAATGGTTTTAGTTTTAGTTTCAATTACTAAAATTGGGAAGTTTTTTTTTTTTGACATACGCACTTTGACTTCTTTAATCGTTGCATTAGTAATGGAAAGTGGGATTCTCTGTAAGTTTGAAGTTCATCTTTCTCAATTTTTCCACCACCAAAATCACATAAAGAGTAGGCAACCATGTCAACTTCAAATCTCAAATGCAAAGCAAGATACTTAAGTGGTTCTCCATCTGTATCTTGACTGTTTGACTTTGACTTTGACTTTGACTTTGAACGAGGATTTGTGATGAAATCTCCTAATAGTTCCTTATCTAATTTGTTCCTTGGCTCATCGTATTTTCTTATTCTTCTAATTAACAATGAACCGATTTCTTGGATTTTTTGGCACAAACTTCAAAGCATGATAATTACATTTGCACCTTAGCCTCTGAAGTTGAATAAATAAGATTTATTATGCATGTGAATATATATTGTAAGAAATTTGAAAATCTGATAATTGTAATGTAACCTGAAGATCAGAAGGCAAAGGATCAAATCCAAGGCGATTTCCATATCCAAGAAAGTGAACAACTCCATTTTTTGATAAAATTGGAAGAATTTTCTTGATGTATTCAACTGATGTTGCTTCTTTAGTGAGATCTGCATCAGTTATCTGAAATTCAATGGTGAAAACATTATCATAAAGAATTGGAGTAATATATTGATATTCCTTGTTTTGTTATTAATGGAGGGCAAATTAGGGAATAAAAGACAACATACCAGACTACCGATTTCTTTGAAGTTTAGTGATTTCAAATGAGGTGGGAGATCCTTTACTATATTAACTTCATCTTTCAATGTTTTCATGAAATAATCTTCTTGATAAATATCACCAAACTGGCTGAATCATAAACATAATCATCAAAACTATATTTTTTAATTTAGAAATGAAAAAAGAGAAAATAAGTCGACTAAAAAAAAAAGAGTTGGAGTAACAAACCTTGGGTCTTTCCATACATTGCTGTAAAGAAACCTTGGAATAACTAATGTTGCATTTAATAATGATGCTACAGCAACAGTATTACATACCTAAATACAAAGTAACAAACTTTTTTATATAATAAATTCCATAAAGCCTTCAATCATATGTATAAAAATGATCAAAATGGTTAATAAGTATCAGAAAACATTTTACTTACAGCAACACGTTGTTGATTTAGACCTCCATTTGCACTAACCAATATATAACCAGTGTTGCTTTGAAAACTTCCTGTCCTAACAACATTTGACAAATCATGAAAAAGATCATGCAAAACATAATCTCTAATATTTCATTATGGAAAGAAATTCACCATTTTTATCAATCTAGCCATTGAATCACTAATTTCATTATGAGTATTATAGTAAATTCAGTTTTTTTTTAACCTGTATTTCTTGATTCCTTTCTATCTGCACAAGGACTCCATAATGATGCTTTTCGATAAGATTCCTTCCAAAATCTTGATTCCTCTTGTTTAAGCTCTCTCTGTGTTGGAAGTTATTCATGAACATACAACAAAACATATCAACTATAAACAAAACAAAAAGTCAAAAACTATATATTGAGCAATGAGCAAGGTCAAAATGGTAATCAAACCTCTACAAGAGCACTAGAAGCCATGCTTGCAAGGTGACCATACATTTGCACCACATTTTTGCCACTTTTATCTCCAAACTTCAAGAAAAGAGTCATTACTTTGTTAAGGCATTGTATATTGAAAAAGCTACCCAATTATAGAAGTGAAAATTGTTTTGTATTCAGATGACATTGCTAACTGTGTAGATTTTTTAAAATAAAATGTTTTAATAGGAAGAAATGAAAGTAGAATGTTATAATAAACAAATCAATGGAAGTACATTGCTATTTCTTGCATTTAACCCATTTTTACATTTGATATTTGGTTATTAGATTAACTGACAATTGGTTTTGGTCAATTTCCTTTGCTGATGCAGACCCAAAAAAGAAACACAAAAACACATACCATTTCAGTTTCAGTAGACAATTTTTTGGGAGGTGGATTACTTTGAAGAACCGAAGGTTCAAAGATGGAACCCATAAGAGAATCCAAAAGAAAAAGAAAACCCATCAATAAAAGTGTGAAAACAATTGATGAAAAATGTTTACGGATCCAAGTATGCCTTTTTCCAACATAAGCACCCTTTATAGAACCTAATTTCATGGAGTTACTCCTTAATCCATTAAACAACTCAAGCTTATCCCACTGGTAGACTCCCCCTGACACCCTCCTCCCCTTTGTTGGATCACTTCCTTGCACCATTTTTTGATACCTAAACTGATACTTAAACGACCCACATGGTGAATTAGCATCTCCTTGTTTAGACCCTGACTTCCCCATAATGTATGAAGAGCTTCACTTCTCAAAAACGTTTCATATACAGTATGAAATACCCACTAATTCATACTATCATTCCAAATAATTTGATTTGAGAGAGCCCCAGTTGAATTTTCTATATAGGGATACTAATAAGTCATGACATGTGTTCCTTTCACTTACTGTTATCATATATTTTAAATCGTTGGAATGAGAATGTCAGAGTTTGTTGTGGAAAAAAAATATAAAGATAAAAAGGAAGCATCAAATTCTGGATTGGAAGTGAAGCTAAATTAGGTGAAAATGAAAGGCAAACAATAGATTGGATAAAAGAAAAAGAAATAGTGATGAAGTAATGTATAAGATATTTAAAGGAAGAAAGGAGAAGGTTGCGTAAACGGACCTGGTCATGGAGATTGTAAACATATAAAACATCAAATGCAGGGGAAATATCACATCTGCAATTTGCAACGCACCAACTTCCCACCGAACAGCAGACTGAACATTGAAAAGTGATACCTTATGTTGAAGCTTTTGTAACAAGAATTTCGAATTGGGAAGTGTAAAACTAAAACCCTAGAAATCGCCATCAGAGGTTGTAGTGAAGTTGTTGATTGTTGCGATGAATCACGCCAATCCGTTGGGCGTTGGGAATTTGGTGGTTTCTCCTGCGCAATTTCAACAGTTCTACAATTTATAATTTATAATAACAAATAAGATTATTGGTAATTTAGGCCACCTCAGCACCGTTACCAGATAAATTATCTGAGGAATATGATGATTTGAATAATTTCCCGGTGATCTGTAATTTTTATAGAAAAAATAATTTTAAAACTCTTAAGTTAATTTGCCTAAAATAATATAAGGTACTGTATGTTTTTTTTTTTAAATTCTTCTAACCACTTATTGCTGCACGGCCCAGCACGCCCAACTAATCCATCCCGCAACAGCTTGTTTTTTAAAAGCCTTCAACGGTTCAGCTTAAAAAACATTTGCGCGTGTTCTGCGCCATGCAGCATTTGTTTTGCCTCTTTAAACCACTTCTGACCTAAAACCTAAAAAAAATGGGCTCAACATAAAAAAAACGCCACTTTCTTGTTTCCCCCCATCGAATCCGTCGCACCTATCTTCTCCATTCAACCTTCGATTTGTAGCTTCCTTCTCTATTCAACCTTCGATTCGCTACCTCACATCGGCATAACATCGTTGTCGGGCAGCCAGGCCTTCACCGTCGCCGCCTCATGAACAAGTATGTTTCTTTTCCTGAAATCAGCTTTTAAAATCGATTGTATCATCCTAAAATCAATTTTTCTTATTAATCTCTGCTGATTCTGATTAATCGATTGCTAGATTCTGATTAATCTTTTCTTGAAATTGATTGTTCATGAACTATCATTTGAGTTGTGTTTTGGTGGGATGTGGATACTAAGCAGAACATGAAATCGATTGTTGTGTGTGTGTGTGTTTTTTTTTTCTATTTGTTAAAATTGCAGTTGGGTATGTATGTGAGTTTCGTGTATAATCTAAAGGCTAACTAGGTTGCATTGAAAGGTATGTTTTTTTTTTCTAATTTCTATGTAGTTGTTGCAATAATCGAATTTGTTTATATTTTCTGCTTTATTATGCAATTGGTGCTGACAGCATGTATATATAACATGATTTTGAGACTTTTTTCATTTTCCTCTATGTTTGACAATCTTATGGTGTTTGACAATCTTATGGCCAAGATTCCAACACGAATCAAAAAACAATGGAAGCCCAAAGGAGAAACCCATGAACAGATAACATATGGAAAAAGAACAAGAACAAGAAGAATAGGAGTAAAGGTTTTAGCTTTGAAAGATTCCAATGTTGTGTTTGTTCTTATCATATTGTTTATGTGATCAAATGTTTTAAGTATCTTTTTTGTGGATAAGAACTTTTTCAACCTATTTATGAAATTAATCAAATTCTAGAAAACTAAAACGATCCAGTAGCCCATTCATTAATATATACTTTGTTGTATGAATTTTATTTCAATGTTTTAAGACTAGAATTATTAAAAATTTGGTGTTGAAAAACAAATTTTCAGTTTGTAAAATTAGTTTATTTAAATTTCAGTTTACTACATCAGTCTGCAGATGTTAAAAAACAAACATGTTTCTTATTACAGACTGCAGTCGTTTGGTCCACCTCTTCGGCTACAGAGATTTGCAGAGGTGATCCGCAGACTTCATGAATTTTCCCTTCAAAAAAACAAACAACACCTGAGTAATTGTCTCATTAATCGAGGGTACACTCTGGCCAAAAACTCACCCTCCTTTTCTTTCCTTTCTTGGTCCTCATTACTTGGTTTTTTACCCTCAAAGATGCAATGAAAATCACGGAATCCACACATTGCAGGTAAAAATTGGTGAAACTATCCATGTTATCTATCTTTTTCTTGGTTTGTTGATAGTTAGTACTAATTCACTAAAGTCAAGTTCTTGGGGTCAGTGTTGACTATGGAGAAGATACTGATTTGGACACTACACACTACAAACATTGAACTTTATGAAGACTTCAAAAAGTAACAAACCCCAAGATGCAACGATGCTTTCTAACTTGATGAAGACTTTAAAAAGAAACAAACCCCAAGATGCAACGATACTTTCTGAACACACTTAGTCAAGATGATGCCCAAGAAATCCCTGAATGGGACAATGTTGAAGGGGATTATATAGAGGATTCAAAACATGACAACTGTAAAGAAGAAGATCATACGAAAGAATTGACATGTGAAAACAAGGAAGAATATGGAGTTGGCTTCGAGTACTACATCCACAATCCAAAGGTTAAATGGAATAAAATAAAACTAGTATGTGGAGAGAGGTATGAATCACCGCACCAACTAAAATATGTTTAACCAATTATGCCATAAGTAATAGTTATCATATTCGTTTCAAGAAATGTGATCATGGGAGACTAGTTGCTATATGTGTCAGTAATTAAGACAAACTTCAGTGTCCCTTTATTGTTAGGGAAAACTAAATGAGTACTACTGAAAGGTATAAAAAAAAATTGTTGATAAACATAAGTGTGTTAGGGGTTTCAATATTGCATCACTTGTGAATCCCACATGTATAACAAGGCAATTCTGAAGGAGGTGATTAGAAAATCGAAATTAAAGTGAGAAAATACAAGCCATTATCCAAAGTAAATTTCATTACAAGATCCCCGTCAACCTGTTACACATCAAGGTGTATGATAATGTCTTTAATTGAAGGAAAATTAAGTGATCGCTATGTTAATGTATGAGATTATGCACAAGAGTTGATAAGATCCAATTAGGAAGTACATTTAAAGTTAGTGTTAGTGTAAACCCTGATAACACCATTACTTTTCAAGACTTTACATATGTTTTAAGGCAATTAAATAATGACGGAAAAAATGTTGTCGTTTAAGCTTGATGGTTCTTTTATAAAAGGAAGGTGTAAATGGGAAATGTTAACTACAACTTGGATTGTTGTTGACATTGACAGCAAGCCAAATTGGAAATGGTTTTTGGAAATGGTTGATGATAATCTTGGATTGCAAGATGGAAGGGGTATATATGTTATTTGTGATCAACACAAGTAATTTATAAATTTATATATCTTTATATGTATCTATGTATAGTAATTAATAATTAATATGTCGATGTCATTACTAGGGTCTTCTTGAAGTTGTAAAGGAAATCCTACCCCATGTAAAACACAAACAATGTGTAAGGCATATATTTATGCCAATTTCAGAAGTATATGGTGGGGTAGAGTTCAAAAACATGTTTTGGGTAGCTACTAAACCTACTGTTAAGGGGTTTCATGATCAATACGGATAAGATCAAGAAAATTACTCATGCTTCTTTATGATCATCTTATAGCCAGGGAACCTACTTGGTGCATGGATTTTTTGGGGTACTAGATTATCATGTGAGGCTATTGAGGATGAGATTGTTGAATGTTTTAATGTCATAATATAACTGAAACATCTCAAAACCTATATGTGAACATATGTTTTACTATATGATAATTTTTTTCTCAAAACCAAAGTAAGAAATCACAAGGATACATTTGCTCTTAATGAACTTGTGATACATAAATCATTAACCAAATCTATCACAAAAACAAACAAGATAATGATTTGATGAAACTTGTGTTACTACAACATAATCTATTAAGCTGAGGTTCTTGAATTTGTTCATTATTAATAGGGTATTGAATAACATTGTCGATCCTTATTCCTAAATTCCAGTAGGTACAAAATTTTGCAGATTATTATAAACAATAATAGGAATCATGATATATTTGTAACGTCCCAAAAATACTAACTATATTTTTAAGTCAACCAAAACCATCAAACATTTATTTTATAAGCCAATCAAAATGTGACAATGTATAAAATAGTTATCAGATTACAAATCAAAATCATAGAATGCGGAACATTGGTGCATGCAATGCGATGATATCAGGCCATTCCCCTTCGAACCAGAGGTACTTGAAGCCATAAACATAAAACGGTAAGCAAAAATCTTAGTGAATTCCCCAAAATACCACATACCACACATACATCGGGCCCCGCCCGGTACAAATCTATTAATAACATGTAATGGGCCCGCCCAAACATACATAGTGGGCCCCGCCCAACATACATACAAATACATACAATACATACAAGAGTGATAGTTTCATTTTATTTACTTCTTTCTATAGTTTATTTTAGCATATTTTATTTTATTTTTAGTTAATCTTCATGCATATTTTCCCTTTTCATTATTTTATATCTATATCGGGTACTTTCGAGTTTTTTTAACTTTATTATAGATATTTGGAGAAATGGAGCAGAGCGTGGAGGGAGATTTGGAAGACTAATGAAGTTTGAGCGAATGATCGAGATTGTTGGAGGTTATCAAAGAGAGTTGGATTGAAGATTGATATCGTTGGAGCTTACTTTGAAGATTGTATAGAAGAAACTTGAGCTTGATGGATTGGAAGATGGAATTTATGAGCTATGAAATTAATGGGTCTTTGAATGATTTTTGGGCTCCTTGGTATCTACATTGGGATCATTTGGATCAGTCAACAAAGTCAAAAGCAGGAGGACAAAATTGGACCAAAGAGGAAAGGGGGCAACAAACTTTTCTTGATTAGCACATCTCACCAGGACGCGTGAGATTTTACTCTGCAGCTCACGCGGTCGCGTGGCTCCTACAGGGGTAATTCCAGGTTTTCAAGTTTTATGGCTATTGAAGGATGGTTGGTGGGGCACTTTTGGGACACTCTTGGATTCGATTTTTGGGGTATATTTGCTGCAATTTAGAGAAAAAAAGGGAGAAACTCTTTGAAGAACACACTTTTTCTCTCAAGAAGAACTTGAAGATTGAAGATTTACATCTTTCCATCTTACTTCATGTTTGGTATTTATAACTTTCACCTTGTTCTTATGAGTTTAGCCATGCTAGGCTAAACTATCTTGGATTGACTTGGATGTAATTGTTTGAATGATTTGGTTATTTTAAAGAACTCCATGAGCTTGTGTTGAATATCTATGATTATATTTTCTATGAATACTGTTGGATTAGTGTCTAAGCCCGTAACCATATTTGGTAAGTACTTGACCCGGTTGTGCATGGTCCTTTTGGGTTGCCTTTACCAAAGCAACTTGATTGGA